TTCCACAAATGTCTCCCTTGTGCGCTTGAAGAAGGGCAAGAAGCGATTCGAGATTGCGTGCTACAAGAACAAGGTCCTCGAATACCGCTCGGGCATCGAGACGGACCTCGACAACGTCCTGCAGATCCCCTCCGTCTTCCTCAACGTGTCCAAGGGCCAGACGGCGCCCAAGGAGGATCTGGAGAAGGCGTTTGGCAAGGGGAAAAGCACGGATGACGTGGTGCTGGAGATTCTGAAGAAGGGCGAGCTGCAGGTCGGCGAGAAGGAGCGGGCGGCCCAGCTCGAGCGGGTGCAGAACGAGGTGCTGGGCATCGTGTGCAGCCGGCTCGTGGACCCGAGGACGAAGCGGGTCTACACGAGGGGCATGATCGAGAAGGCCCTCGACATGCTGAGCTCGGCGGCGCACGAGGGCCAGCAGCAGCAGCAGGCCGGCAGCAAGACGGCGAGCGGGACGGGGACGCCAAGCGGCAACGGAGGGGACGAGGAGGGCGGCGCCAAGCCACGGGCGCAGCACGTGTGGACGGGTGTGACGACGACCAAGTCGGCGAAGAGCCAGGCGCTCGAGGCCATGAAGGCGCTGATCGCGGCGCAACCGATCCCCGTGCAAAGGGCGCGCATGAGGCTGCGCGTGACTTGCGCGACGAGCGTGCTCAAGCAGGGTGTCAAGGCCGCCAAGGAAGAGGGCGTTGGGGAGGATGGCGCTAAGGCGGCGCCGGGCACGGTCAAGGATAGGATTCTGGGGTACTTTGAGCAGGTGGAGAGCCAGGACGTCGTCGGTTCCGAATGGGAGGTTTCTGGGTTCGTTGAGCCCGGTGCGTTCAAGGGGCTGGGTGACTTCATTGGCAATGAGACGAGAGGTCAGGGTCGTGTTGAGGTGCTCGATATGGCCATCACACACGAGGATTAGATGAGACACGGGCTCTCGCGACCTGTTTTGCAGACATATTTTTCTATCATGATCACGGCCTGACGAGCGACTAGCGATCGTGGCATTTGGGCGGGCGAAAAGCATTACTCAATTTTGAAGATTTGTTGCACAGCTGTAATGCAGTGGCGCATGGTGCTTATGCTCACCCTCTCCGACTGTCGTCTTTAGTGGCGCTAGGACCTTACACGATGTGCTTTGCCGAGACTTCAAGTCACACATGTTGGTAGCCGGGGTGCTTCTCACATGATGCATAGATGATCAGGTTGAAGAGGTCTGCCGCAGTTTAAACTGGCAGCATTCTATTCTTTCGGACGGCGCCATCAAAGTCATCATTCAAGGTCACGTAAGACAGGAAGACGCAGTTTTGATTCTTTTGTTTTGGTCTGGCGAACTCATTTTCGAGAACCACCATCCGGATGTCATCGCATGGCCCAAATAGCAATCCCCCAATGGATGTGATGATGTAACGCAAGGAATCAAGGTGGGAAGAAAACCAAGCCGTGTCACGCCTTTTGCCCTCCGGACCGAATCCTCCCTGCCGTCTCCCTTCAACAACAGCGATACGCTTAACCACCCTTCTTCTTGGACACACCGACGGTACGGCCACGGCGACCAGTGGTCTTGGTGTGCTGACCGCGGACACGGAGGCCCCAGTAGTGACGGAGACCACGGTGGGCGCGGATCTTCTTGAGGCGCTCAAGATCATCACGGAGCTTGGAGTGGACACCGTTGGCGAGGATCTGGGAGTCCTTGCCGTCGACAATGTCGCGCTGCCTGTTGAGGAACCAGCCGGGAATCTTGTACTGGGTGGGGTTCTGGATGATGGTGACGATACGCTCAAGCTCCTCAGAGGTGAGCTCACCGGCGCGCTTGTTCAGGTCGACTGCAAGTCCTTGTTAGTTACTCGTCGCCGTGTTCGAAAGTCCTGTCTGCCCTTGCGGTGGCGAATGGACGAGAGAAGCTACGCACCATCGGCCTTCTTGCACACAATGTTGGAGTAACGACGGCCAACACCAGCAATCTTGGTGAGCGCGTACATGACCTTCTCCTGACCGCGAACGTTGGTGTCTGCACATGTTGTTAGAATCGATGGCATCGGGGTGGTGGTCGATCGAGGGGTTTCGCGATCGCGCGATCGAGAGTAGACGTACTCAAAAGTCGGAGAATGAACTGGAAGTTCGCTGCGAGGTGTCCGTTAGCAGATGATTCATGGCAGTCGGCTGTGAGCAATAGACATACTCTTCTCCCCTGAGACGAGCGACATGTTGGGCAACTTGTCGAGGTGGTTGCCTTGATGTCGATGGTTGATGGTCTGTCTTCGTAAGAGAAGATCCAAGTCGAAATTTGTTGGCGAATTGTGGGATGCACAACTAACCCCGTTGCCCTTGCACGTGACTTGAGAAAACCTCCACTGCAGGGCGACGTGGTGGGCTGAGTGGGGAGGTCTAAGCGCGTAATTTTTCGCTTACCTAAAACGCACATCGGCCGCCTTCCATTCCCAGTGGACTCGATGTAGTAGTGCCGGGGCCTCCGTAGCCCCTAAAACCCCCACCCACCATTGGCACACCGTCCATCCGCTTCTCGGTGAGGCAACGACATGTGCACCGGCGCCTGCTGAGCGCTGGAGGCATGAAGCGCTCCATATGCAGGATGCTTGGACACGAGGTGCTTGGTGGTTCCAAGCCGGTGATATGGAAGCTCCAAGGTCTTGTCTGAAAATAAGATTGCCGAGAATCAGCTCGTGCTGCTGCGCTGTTGTATCCCCGTTTCGGTGGAGATGGTATGAGACGGTCTATTCGGCATCTGAGCATAAAGAGCACGTATCGTGGATGCCGAGAGAGCTGGATATCCATATTAGCTGCATCTTACACATGCTCAGACGCAGGCCCCGATGGATCATTTGTTCAAGCGCCACTAGAGTTGATGACTTCAGGAAAGATGTAGCAAGCAAACGTTGTGGTGCACACGAAGTTGATTTTAAGGACTCGTACACGATGGGGTGTGAATGGAGTGGTGCCAACATCTCATAGGAACAGCCAAATATGGTCAGTCCAAATCACTGTCTTCAGGATATGTTACGAGTTACAGCTCTATGTTTATGATATTCTCAGACTCTTGTGTCACGCTCTTGATGTTCTTTCCTTGGATGTCTCATCATCCGTGGCCGAGAAGAGCATCAATGAGAAGTGCTGACAGGAGATCAGTATCTTTTCTCCCAGGGCTTTCGAAACTGCAATGCTCCATTCCAGTGATTTTGCAGCTCTTAGTAGCGCATGTGATTCAATGGGCAACGAAGTTCAGTCTTTCCCCATCTGTCCTTCGTAGGCAACCACGAGAGACCAAGTCCACCAACCGCGCCAGCTGCTCGACAGATGGTAAATAATATCCAAAAGACACCTGCGGCTCCTGCCACTATTCAAAAGTCAGCTACCATTCTGGTATTGTTACGCTACTCTATTCACCCCTCTTTGAATAATCACCACTACTCGATCACGCACCCCCGGCACACAGAGCTTACTATGCCAGTGATTACCCACACCAAAAACATCTCTGGCGTTGGCTTCACAGGCAGTAATGTCTGGAACGGTTCGGCAGAAGAGATTGCCGACCACGTGAGATTTGTCTATCCCCGGGTCGCGGTCGAGGTCTCCAGCTCCACCGTGCCTGCCTCAGAGGAAAAACGAGCGTCTTGCTCGGGTTGGAACTGTCTGAACGGTGCTCAGCAACTTGGCATTGTCATCAGCTGCATCGTCATTGGACTCACCCTGCTTCTTGCTCTCACCTACTACAAAGCTAGCCGGAAAGAGGCCGGATGGGCCCGTAATGGTGACAATATCGCCATGCGTCGTACTCGATGCCGCCAGCAGCCGTCGCCCGAGGATGGCCGCCGCGCTTCCATCGTCTCTCGATACACCGATAACGCGCTACCAACACTCCCCGGTGTCAGACCTCCGACCGCCGAGCCGCCAGTCTTTTTTCCGCTGATCATGTCTTATCCCACCCCGACTGGCCCGATTTACCAGGCTCCCCCTCTGCTGTTTCACCCACACAAAGAGGAGATTTCTCGTCCTTCTACGATCTATCAGCCTAATATCCAACCGGTGGTCGTACCTGGTACCGAACAACCGTCTGAGGACCGAGCAGGCCCAGAGAAGAACAAGGAACGCACTACCAAGAAGAACAAGCGCCAGAGCTACCAGTACCATCAGACCAATGGTCAGCAATATCCTGGCGGCCTCTACCCGCGTGCTCCTACCATCGGTCAGAAGTTCATGAGACTCTTCGGAACGCAGACCGGGCGCGCAGAAACCATTGCAAGCTCGCGTCAAGAGTCTCAGGAGCGCGTCAACCCGGCTCAGGTCCGTCAATTCAATAACGATGTCCAGCCCTCCACCATGCATGTCGAGGAGCAAAGTAACAAAACAGCCTATCCAATCCGAGTTCCCATCGAACCCCTTTCCCCCGAGTCGAACGCTGCCACTGTGTACAGCGACGACTATGTCTTGCCTACTCCGCATGGACCAACTCGTACCGGCTCTGGTGCTGCCTCTATTCCCTCGCCCGGTCACCGTCGCCATTTGAGCCGCCGCAGCGTCAGCCGTGACTCCGGACACGGCGAACAGCCGAGCACCCAGGTCTCCATCTCTCGGGATAGCCGTGATGGCGATGGTGCCGAGCTTACCGATGGAGGTGCTCATTCCCCCAGGCGGTTCGTCATCCCTACTGCTGAGATTCTCAGCAGTCATTGATCTGTGGCTAGCGCTCGTTCACAACTTGAACGCACAAAGACAAATCGGTCTCGCGATCACCGCCAGGGAAGGCAGGCCGATGACCGAGCTGGCACGATCTTGTCTTTGATACTGGGGGCTGTTGGCATTCATTTACCGACAGACAGGCGTTCGGGTGAGTGGAAGACGCAGCTGAAAGAACGAAAGTCGCAAGTTCTCCCCGATGAGTTGCGGAGAAACAAGAGGCGAGACCGAGAGAAGCCCAGGAGGACACATGAAAGAAGGTAGGTGCCTTAACAATCCCAACTTAAGTCTCAGGAAGTTCATGCTGACGAGTTTTCTTTTAAGGTCTTTTACGGCAAAGGAAGCCTGGATGCAGTCTGGCGCGGCCACTGATGTGGTACTTGACCCTGTTGCTCCTGTGCCTGTCCATCAAGGGGGTGGTCATTATGAAGAGGGACGGGTTAGTCGACAAGTTTCATTGCAAGTCGGAGTGCATCCAGCCATGAATGCTAGACAGACCGGGAAGACAAAGGCAACTGGCGACTTTTGGGCTGCATGATCGGTACAATGGAGGGGCATAGAGCTGGAGGATTGAGTCTCATGGCATGTTGAAGGTATTCGAACGTTGATCCTGGCAAGGTGGCATGGCTTCAAGAGTTCTGGTGAAGACAACATGGGGGCTTTGAATGATGAAATCGCCAAAAAAAGAGTCTATTATTCAGAGAAAAAGAAATCACAGAACACTGCGTCTGAAGGATGGTCAAGGTTGTGACCTGATGCCATGGTCATGACGGTGCTGCTGTGACGAGTTGGACCCTGAGCAGAGCTCTTATCGGTTGCGATAGACGCACGGACCATAACCAGGCTCCGTGGCCCGTGCCTGCATTTGCGTCGTCATTGGCACTGGGACGACCCAACCCCAGCACCTGCACCCAGCACCGTCCAGGCCAGGCACTCACTTTCGGGAGCGACATCATTCTTGGAGCTTGACCAGGTCCGTCCGTCCGTTCTTACCGGCCACCTCTAAACAACATCTCCGACTGCGGTCACATTTCCCCGTCTACAGGCCCTTGACGACCGCCTCTTTCTCAGTGAAGACCGTTCATCGGTATTCCCAGAGGTCTGCCCTACCTGCCCCGATTGCATCCGTGCATGCCGGCGATCTCACAGCTCACCCCTCCCCCGCCCCATTCGTCCTCCGCCTGAACATCGCGATACCTCACTGCCCGCGCACCGCCTTGTTGTCGCGACGAGCCTCCAGTCCGCACGCCCGCCAAAGGCTTCATCCCAGACCCGCATATTGCGCCTTCCTTGTTCGACCCTCCATCATGTGGAACGACGAAGACAACAATCCCTATGGCACAAGCTTTGACCGTCGGGACAGCTTGACCTCCTCCCCCGCGAACCCTGCCTCTCCGACTTCCCGTAAGTTTTACCTCAGTACCCTCTCTCACAGCTTGGAAAACGACAGCCCACCATGGACCAATCCGTGTACTGGGATGCTCCCGAGTATCAGCCTGAGCAGGGCGACGCACATGAGGAGGAGCTTCCCTTCGTGGACGTTCCCTTGGACGACAACCCGCCTCCTGCCTCTCCCTCTTCTGTCCACGATGCTGATGAGGAATGGGACTTTCTAGATCAGCAGCGGTTTGACGCTCCGAACACCCCTTCGTCCACGAGCGAGGATGCGCCTCAACAACCCGCCTTCGACCGCAATGTTGGCAGTGACGACGAGGTCGAAACCCCAGAGCAGGCTGCCCCTCGGCGCAAACCTGGCGGCTACGAGAGTCGAATCGAACAGATCTTGTACGAGAACCCGAGCCTGCCTATCCTGATCACAGATGCGGGAAAGAGCGCAGAGAGTGGCGGAAAGTACATCGTCTATACCATCCGCACCGGTGTATGTCGCGTTCCTTCCCGAAAAGACGCCTCCGGGCAGGCTGCTGACATGCCCTAGAACCTCGAGGTCCGCCGTCGATACTCCGAGTTCGCGACCCTTCGCGATGCGCTCACCAGGCTTCATCCCACCCTCATCATCCCCCCTATCCCTGAGAAGCACACCATGGCCGACTATGCGGCCAACCCCACCAACGCGAAGCAGGATCAGCAGATCATTGACCTGCGAAAGCGCATGCTAGCCGTGTTCCTAAATCGCTGCCGCGTCATGAACGAAGTCAGAGAAGACGGTGTCTGGTGGCGGTTCCTTGACCCTAACGCTAGCTGGGTATGTTTCTGCGTCGTGCATAGACGGGCCACTTAAATCTCGAACCTAACATCCAGACAGAGCGAGGTCCTCAACTCACATCCCATCTCGTCCATCCCGAAGTCGGTCCTGCGGGCCCCGCCCTTGGATCCCGCCAACGCTTCTGCCGCCCACAGCTATCTCCCTGTGCCTTCGAGCTCAGCCAAGCTCAAGGCTGGCGGAGGTCACACCGACCCCTCGTCGTCTTATGGACAGGGAACTCCCCATGGCCGTTTCCCGCCCGACAACAGCAACCTCACCGAGGAGCAGCTAGATCCTTACTTCAATGCATTCGAAGCTTCCAGCAAGGACCTCGAGTCACTCCTCACAGGTCCGATGGAAAAGGTCAACCGCCGAACCGTCAGCCATCTGCAGTCTCTGGCTGCCGACCTGTGCGATCTCGGCTCCCGCTTCAACGGTTTTGCCCTGTCAGAGCCGTCGGCCACGCTAGGTCCAGCCATCGAGAGGGTCGGCCAGGCTGCCGACTCTTCCTACATTGCGACAGAGGAGCTTGCGGGTTCCCTAGGAGCTAGCTTTGCAGAGCCGATGCGCGAGAGCGCGCAATTCGCCGGGGTTGTCCGGAATGTACTCAAGTACCGCCAGTTGAAGCGTATCCAGCAGGAGCAGACGAATGATGAGCTGAACAGAAAGAAGGCGCAGCTGGAGGAGCTTGAGCGGAGCGAAGCTGAGTCGAAGCGCATCGAGCAATACCTTAACAGCAGTCAGGTGCACACGCCTCCGCCTAAGCGATCGACCAGTCTTAGAGAGACGGGCACTTCGCCCCAGTACTCAAGGGAGACCGAGGACACAGCTTCGATTGATTCCGACTTCCCTCCGACACACGGCGAACCGGCTCCTTCGGCAAGTCAAGGCATCCCGCAGAGAAGCAACTCGAGCCCCGGCCATAGAAAGGTACAGAGCAACAACTCGATCACCAACAAGATCTTTGGTCCCATCCGCCACGCCATCCAGGGTGTTGCGGACGTTGATCCCGAGAGAACCCGTCGCGACCTTATCGGTAAGACACGGGAGAGCATTGAGCAGCTGCAGCAGGCACAGGTTGCGTCCGAGCACGACGTGCAGGATGCCAGTCTCAGCATCCTGACGGACCTCAAGAGGTTCCAGGCGGACAAGGAAGAAGACCTTCGCCGCTACATGGTAAGATTCCGGGCTCACGTGTTTTGTCTATCCTATATGCTGACGAATTTTCCAGTTGGCGTACGCAAAGAGCCAGATTGAATGGGCGAAGAAGAACCAGGAGACCTGGAAGGAGGCCAAGGCCGAGATCGACAAGATCGACGAAAGTTGAGCGTTTCACAAGCAATTGTACATGCGCGTTTTTTTTTTTCTGATTTTGAGGATGGGAAAAAAAGTCCAAAGGCCCGTTGGGTTGCTACACTCGACATCAGGGGTGAAGGCCTTGTTTCTTACCCGTTTGGCTTCTGATTCTCCACCCATTGCATCGAGAGGTTTTGAGGTTTTGCGGAATTGCGGCGTATGAATGATGCGGTCGTGATCGAGGCAGCGGCGACTGCGAGCGATCCGGCCTTAGATAAAGTCCTATAGTGAACGATTGCCTCTATTGAAGGCGAACAGTCAGAGCCAATTCACGTTTAAAAGATGACCAATTGCCATGGATTCCGCGGCCAAGCAAAAGCGAGAGACAACCCATCACCCTTGGTTCGCTTCCGCGCCATTGTGATAGGCGGTCATGGCTACAGGCTGAACATAATGAGCAAATGATCGGGTGATGCATGGCCCGAAGCCCATCTTATATCTCCGCTCCTTAGCCTCCACAGAAAACCGGACGCCCGTCGCACAGGCGGCGGACATCTGGAAGATCTGGCTCCTAGCTCTAGAAGCTTCTGCGTGAGCTCACGATTCGTCTACTTTCGCGCGAATAGCCCAGCCGCCATGCCATCCAACCCAACCCTTCTCCCAAGGTCCTCGCAGGAACAGAACGACTAATGCCAAACCCATGAGGCCAATAGTGGCACCTCCTACCCAAGTCCAGCCCCCGTCAGCATAAAGCTTGTTTCCAATAGCCGCTCCTGACATCTGCCCGAGAAACCCACAGACCACGAATGCTGAATTCACGCGGTTCATTGCTGTCGAGTCAATGCCAAAGGCGGCGACCCTGTTGGCTGTCTGCGATGTCTGGGTTCCCATGTCGATGGCGATGGCCTCGATAATGGGACCGGCGACTGTCAGGTTGCCGGTGAAAGTGCTGATGATGACGCCCACCAGCGCAAAGGTCTCGCCCACAAAGGCAGAGAACCACGGGACGAACTTGTCCATGAAGATCCGGCCATAGAACGGCCCCAAAACTATCGCGATGATACCGATAAGCCCAAACAGACCAATCTGAAGAGAATTATACTCATACGGCGGAGATGCCAGGTGAAAGGTCAGGGTCGTCCAGAATGCAGAAAAGACGGCACTGACGCAGTAGGACTGAATGCACACCTGGAGCAGTAGGGGCTCAGTAAACGTCATGCGAACCGTGCTGTAGAGCATGTGGAAGTACGTCTTGCCCTCGGGGGCCCGGGATGGATAGTCTGGCATGAGGGAGTACAGCAGCGCCAGGAGGAGATATTGGAGGCCCAGCGCGACCCAGTATATGGTTCTCCAGTGGCCGTAGTTGGCCGAGACGCCGGAGAGCAACCTGCCCAGTAGGGACCCGAGCAGGATGCCGGAGACGCCGATTTGCACCGCACTCGCACGCCTGTTTGGGGGGACTTGACCGCCGATGATGGGGATTGCAAGCTGCGGAGTGACTGTGGTTATACCGCAAATCATGCTGAGCGCCTGGGAAGACTGGGAACGAGGAGGTCACGCAGAGGCCAATCCACTGGAGCAAGAATCAGCCCTTGGACCGGATACTTCTTGCGCTGGCGATCAACATTACCACTGTAGCCGTTACACCAACCATGACTAGGATTAGGGGGCGCGGCCGAAGCCAGTCTCCGATCGGACAGATGAAGAATAGGCCAATAGCATAGCCTGCTTGCATCAGGCTGGCCACCGTCGATGCCTTTTCGAAGCTGACATTGAAGTCTTCCGCGATCTTGTCCAGTACAGGTTGGTTGTAGTATAGGTTGGCCACGGTGAACAAGGCGGCCTGTGTCTTGTCAGTCACAGCGCGACAAATGGCCCCGAGGGAGTGATCGAGACTTGCCACAGAGAACAGCAAGTTCAGCCAAATGGTGAACGGTGGGACACGCTCGGGATCATAGCGGCAATTGGGAGGCGTCCACTGCAAGAGCGTCACAACTTTGGACCGAGTTCGAGAGGCTGGCTGCATTGCTACTCGCCTCGAAAGCCGCAAAGGTTCAGCACCTGGTAAGTGACGATGGGGCGGGGTATGATCAGGTCTCCGCGTCAAGGGTATCGACGGCCTGGTCAGTCTTGGTCACAAGATGAAACCAGCCCACACAGCCTGCCCTCCGTCCTGATTATCAGGTATTCGCCTCCGAAATAAAGAGGCCTCGATTGTGGTCGCGCGATGCACCATCGCTCCGCAGTGATGGGGTGGGAGTGGTGGCCATTGGTGTGAAGGGTGGCCAGCCTGCATATGCAACCTGCCAACAAGCGCTTTGCTCAGCAGGGATTTCGTGATGGTGCATTATTTCGCGCCAACAGGTAAGTCTATTATGGCAAGCGCCAGGCTTGTTGGTTCCCTCCGAGAAACGATGTCTGTCTCTAGCTTCTCTTCTGCCTGTTTCATTGCTCTCATGTCTTCTTTCAAGCAAGCTTCAAGCTTCATTGCGCCACTTTCGGTTGTTCTCTGCCATTTCTGGACCGAGTACCAGATAATCATCTCTCGACACCGCGGAAATTGCCCACTTGCCCCTTCTAAGCAAGTCTTCTCCTCAGTCGGCCGCCGGTGTTGCCGGCTTGAGATCCGGAATGCCTAGTGCCTCAGCACCGATGGCGCCGGCGCTCACCGAAGCCCCAGGGACCCGAGGTATTCCAGACATCTACGAGCATCATCCATTGCCGAACAAGTTCCATACGCGTATGGTGATACTACATCCAGGGACTGGTCAAGATGAACTATCATGTCATCTGGTAGTAGCAAGGCCATCGCCAAAAACGCAGAAATACATCGCTCTGTCCTATGTATGGGGCAACCCTCGAAAAGTGGTCAAGATGACCTGCGATGGACAGCCCATTAGCATCACTGCCAATCTAGCCGACGCTCTTCTTGCTCTGCGCCATCCCCAGCACTCGCAACGCATATGGGCAGACGCCATCTCGATCAATCAGGCTGATGAGGCTGAAAAGTCTCAACAAGTCAAGCGAATGGGAGTCGTATACAGTACAGCGGAGCATGTCGTCATCTGGGTTGGCCATGATGTTGATCTCATTGCTGAGGATTGTTTTGCCGTCATCAGAGATACGAATCACTACCTCGGCGGAGAGCTGACAAGGTGTGGGGATACGACAGACATCCCAACGCTCGTGCGGCCGTACCCCATCATCAGCGACCGCAAAAGATGGGACAAAGTGCGCCAGCTGCTGGCTCAGCCATGGTTCCGGCGGGTCTGGGTTATTCAGGAAGCGGGCCTCGCTCGCAGTTGCACCATGCGTTGGGGAGAGCACGAGATTGAATTTGCGCACGTCGTAGAACTGGCGCTGTGGCACGTCCTACGTGAAGACTTCGCGGAGGTTGCTGGGCCTTTGAATGCCCTTCGGCTCACCGACGTTTTCAGGGACATACATCTGAACTACGACAACAAGGAGACGTGGAGGACGAGTCTGCCTCTGCTCCGAGCTGAGGTAGGCCTGAGCAGCAACAAGCCTCAGATCTTCCTAGACATCCTCCTAGCCGCGAGCGGCTTATTGGCGTCTGACCCGCGCGACTACATATTTGCGTTTCTGAGCAACTCCCACGCGCTGTACCCAGAAGGAAAACTTCTCTTGGATCCCGACTATAGCAAGGACTTGAGTGACATCTTCTACGAGACGGCGTGCGCTGTTTTGAGGCACCCAAAAGAGGCACCCTTCTTGCTGTCTCGTGTCAAGCACCTCTCCGATGAGAGTTTGACGGACCACAAGTTTCCTTCATGGCTTCCACGCTGGGACAAAGTCATCGACTTTACCATCTCGCGACCGAAATTCTGGTACAGCGCGGGGGGCTCGGAGGATTTCGCCCCAGTCGTCCACCTCGACAGGTCTTTATCTACACGCGGCGTTATATTTGACAAGATTGTTTACACGTCGCGGAATATCACACGGAACAATGTTTTGAAGGACCCTGCTGATTGGGACGAGGAATTCCGTACAGCTCGCAAGCCTTTCATCGATGTCCTCTGGGAAGAGACTCTTGTAGCAGCGAAACCAGTCAGTGTAAGTGCATTCGAGAGCGACTTTGCCTGGACCCTTGTGCGAGGATACCCAGCGACGCCAGGAAAAATAAGCGAGGCGCAACAAATGGACGAGTTCGCCGCCTACCGCCATCTTGTCCGACAGGCGTGTGGCTCTGATGCGCTCAAAGACAACTTTGAAGTCGGCCCAGGCGATGCGCGGTTCCCCAGGAACTTTCTCCATCGTTTGAACTACTGCGACAAACTGCGTGTCGCCTTCACGAACTCTGGACGTCTTGGCTTGGTTCCTCATGTTTCCCATCCTGATGACATTTGTTGCATTATGCCTGGCGTCCCGGTACCCATGATTTTACGACCTCGGAAGGATGGCATGTTCACCTTTGTTGGAGAATCATATGTACAAGGGGCTATGGCTGGCGAGGTTCTGCAGGATGTTGCTCGCGGGAAGCTCCGCATGGAGACAATCACGCTGTTGTGATTTCACGGTGCCGTTCGATTTCCGCGAAGGTTTCGGATGTTTTGCGCTTTTCGATCAGGATACCCATTTTGAGAGACAACGATGAATGTAAATTAGCAGTGGATAGAATGACAGCATATAAAGGAGGCAGTGCTCGTGTTCCGGAAAAGTGCACCATTCGTTCTGTCCTGAATGATCTGTGAAGTTGTGTGGTGGGAATCAAAGGCGACAGCTTCATGGAAGCGGATGGGTAGCGCCGTGGGGTCCCAGCTGAACAGGTACTATCTCGGCAAGCGATCTCAATCAATTTCAATGGCTTGGTCCTCCTTGCTTTTGCATCTGCACGGCAGTTGTCCTAGTTCGACGGAAAATTATCGTCATGGACTCCGGGGGATGTTTGGCCGAACAGTACCAATACCCCGCAAACCCCGAGAAATCGTGCAATATATCATCGGGCGGGTCGGTTACCTACCCAAGCAGAACGATAAGCTAGAGCACGATGAGACTTTCGGCCGGACCAAAGGCTCATGCAGGGGAAACCGAGAGGAGATTCGCGATGTCTATAATACTCCATCCCGGCGAAATGACGAACCGCTGGTTGATTCTCAGTTGGTGCTGAAGCACATCGCCCGCCCGTCATGCAGCCCTCATTTTCTTATGCTTTTGCGGCCCTGCTAGGAACACTGCAATGCGTCCTTGGTCAGAACATCGATGCGTCGCCGCAGCTTCTAGCTGAGCTTGACTATGGCACTTTTCAGGGTGCGTACTCGAAAGAGTTCAACATCTCGTACTGGCAAAAGATACCCTTTGCAGCACCTCCTATAGGCGTCAACCGTTTCCGCGGTCCCCAACCCCCAATCCCTGTCACGGAGAGTCCTTATAATTCAAGCCAGTTCTTCGACATGTGCCCCCAAAGGACGGTACGTATGCATAGAGCAGAGACGAACCATAGCAAGGCTCTCGTGACTGACCGTACCACAGGTCAATGGCTCAGAAGACTGCCTATATCTGGGGCTCTACTCTCGGCCCTGGACTGAAGACCAACCACTCAAGCCAGTGATTGTTACCTTCTATGGTGGCGGGTTCGTTCAGGGTTCTGGGTATTTTACGCTTCCACCAACGGGATTTCCCTACAACACCAACGTGCCGCCGCCGTCCGACATGATCTTCGCCTATCCCACACTGAATGTATCTTCTGCGTCCGACATGGTCATCGTCTATCCCAATTACCGCACCAATGCTTTTGGCTTCCTGCCAGGAAAGCTCATCGATGAAGACCCCTTCTCCGATCTGAACCCTGGCCTCCTGGACCAGGAAGCGGCTCTCAAGTGGACGAAGACGAACATCGCCAAATTTGGTGGCAATCCTGACGACATCACCATTTGGGGCCAATCTGCAGGCGGTGGCAGCGTGCTGGCGCAGACAATCGGACGCAGCGGCAAAAAGAACCTCTTTCGCAGGGCTATGGCGAATAGTCCATTCTGGCCAAAGGTGTACCATTACGATAGCCCCGAGGCCGAAGCACTGTACGATGAGCTAGTCAACAGAACAGGTTGCGCAGGTCCAGACAGCCTGTCCTGCCTGAAGGGACTTGAAGTACAAACAATCCGAGACGCGAGCCTGAAAATCTCAGGACTTCTCAAGTACACGACGTCCTACTTCAACTGGGCACCTGTTATCGACGGTAAGTTCCTGACCGAGTCTCTCACGGAAGCTACGTCTTCCATCAAGATTGAGAGGGCATTTGCGATGCATAACACGCACGAGGGCGAGAGCTTTATCCCAGCCAGCCTCCAAGGCGCAGCAAACGAGACCGCCTTCGACAAGTGGCTCCGCGGGTTTCTGCCCAACTTGAGCGAATGCGAAATTGCTGCCGTAAAGAAACACTACCCAGCAGAAGGGGCTACAGAAACCATCGACTACGACAGCACCTGGGTGCGGGCCGGCCTAGTATACAGAGACAACGTCCTGTCATGCCCCGCCTACTGGTTCACGAACGCGGCGTCACAGGGCTACTTCGGCGAATATTCCCTGACGCCATCGCTGCATGCGAGTGACACATTCTGGGTGCGTCGTCTCTAATTTGTGGTCACATGCTGTACTGATACAAGATAGTGGAACCGGATCAATGCCACGCAGCTTCGGAGGCCTTCTTACTACAGAGGCTATGCTGGTCAGTCACAGGGGGGATCGGGTTGCAGAGCTCAGAGCTAATTGCGGAATAGGCGCCATCGCATCCTTCCTGATGAAGGGCAATCCCAATGAGCTGAAGCTCACGCCGGAGGACGTGGCCAGCGTACCGATCGTTCAAGATGGGAGTGAATGGGTCATCAACGGGAACGGCTTTGATACCGCTGACGCGAAGCGCCTCGCGAGCCGTTGTGCCTTCTGGCGAAAGACATCGGCCAGAGTCCCTGTGTGAGTACAGAGCGAGCGATGACGGGCTTTGGTTGTGATACTCAGGTCTCAAGAGAGCCACTCATACTGTCCACCTTGTCAAACAGAGTCGCAGTACTCGGCGGCACCTTGAAGCATATTAGGCCGATCGCGGCAGCTCCATCTTGTCGCGGAACTCCGCGCACGAAAAGGGCATGTGAAATAAAATGACATTTGAGAAGTGAACGAAGTCAAGCAAAAGAGCATACATATAGAAACAGATCCACGAAGCTATCTTTGTGCTCTGGTCTGGTGTTTCCGCAATTGAAGAACAACGCCTAACCGCTACCCAGTGAATTTTGATCGTGTGGTGACAATCGGTTCGAGCCATACCAAGACGTTCCATAAATATGACAGCGCTTCAAACCACCAACTGCTTCCCACTTTCAGAAAGTGCCAGCGCCTAATCGTTGCTCTGCGTCGCATCAGGTCTTCTTGGGTGGTTCTTGGAAGGTCTGAAGATGGGGTCGGCGCCTATGGGGACCTTGAGCGGCTGGCTGTCACGCCCTTACTTAGCCGCAGCCAAGAGTGTCTAAACTCTCAAATGGAACACAAAGACGTGGAACCAGACATATTCAGATTATGTAGAGGTGCCCTTTATTTCTTTAAAAAGCTCGCAATCTCAACTGAGGTTTGCTTTCCGGTCTCATCAACGCTATTACCCCTAAATCACAGGCCTCGCATCCCTCGCAACTTAATTCAGTATTGCTGTCTACAATCGTTTTTAGCAACATGAGTTGCCGCCACGAGCAGGATGCCTTCGAATTTGGGCACGGGAACACCAAAATAGATCCCGCCGTATTGGAGAGCAAGTCTCGGCCAGTCTCATTGTGAATGAGGGCACGGCCATAGCTGACTATATACTGCTAGGGCTCCCACCCAGTTGCCAGGTAACTTTGACCAAAGAATACGGCGTCAGCTTCTGGGGGAAAACCGGCCGGATAGACGTCGCCATGCCGGACAGATCTCACCGTTCTTTTTTTCTCAAGGTTCTCTCCGACAAACAGGCCAGGGGCATGGTCTACAGCGAGTTCGAGTCCATGAAAACACTGTACAGCATCGACCCTCAGTTCGTTCCACGGCCCATCGCCTGTGGCAACTACAAGAATGACCCGAATAAGTATTACTATCTTTGTAGCTTCCATGACATGACGGAGGAGATCAAGGACCGAAATCAGTTTGTCTCCAAGCTTTCAAATATCCATACCAAACACACATCGCCCAACGGCAAGTTCGGATTCCACATGACGACGTTCGCTGGCAATCTACCCCAATACTCGGCGTGGGAGAGCAGCTGGGAAGCATTTTTTGCTAAGAGCATGCGCCAAGCTCTCGATCTAGAGATTCAGAAGCAAGGCCCTAGCAAAGAGCTCGACGCTCTTTCGATGAGGCTCTTTGCCAAGGTCATCCCACGACTGTTGCGACCACTTGAGAGCGGGGGACGGAAGTTGAAGCCAGCACTTGTTCACGGAGATCTTTGGCACGCGAACGCGGGGTGGGAAGTTGCTGTGGGCAGGCCCCTCGTTTTTGATGCTTGCTGCTTGTATGCGCATCATGAATGTAAGTTGAGCGCTTCATCTCGAGCGCGTTTTCCGTTGAGAGTTTCATCTAACTGACGTTGTCAACTTCTGCCGTTGCGAAGACGAGCTCGGTCAGTGGAAAGCAGTCAACAATAAATTTGGGAAAGCATACATCGAGGCATACGTTAATCATGCCGAGGTCTCGGAGCCGAAAAAAGACTTCGAAGATCGCCTGACCCTCTACAGATTGTGAGTCTCTGTGGGCCTAACGTCCCCGTCTCGCTCAATTAACCGACCATCATCAAGGCGTTTTGATACACACGTGTCGGCACTCTTCGGAGGCAAGGAGGTCAAAGGCCACGAACGTTTCCGGGAGCAGTATGTCGTCTATACCTAGGCCCCTCTGTCCCTCTCCCAAATGCCATCAGCTGACCTGTAGAAAGAGTGATCGAGGTTATGAGAGGGTTGGTGACCAAGTTTGCTCCTTAGCAGGTATCATGATCAAATTCAGGGCTATAACACTGCGCCCTCTCCATATCTTTACACGGCCACAGAGTCACATGGACCCACGATGTTTTGTCTGAATGCCCGGATGGTCATGTGTCACCATCAGCACACGAGAAACGCCGCGGCGCAGAGTAGAAGCTGAGCGGCAGATCGAAGCCCAGCTTTAACTAGCTTCACAACTTCGGTCGGGATAGGCATCCGGTGAGGCGTGGGATGTATGACAGGTGAGTCCCCCGCGTTGCGTGTGGGCCATAGGCTGGTGCAGTGATGTGTGGGGTAGGCTCCAGAGATCAGGCAGTGTTGGTTCCCTAGTTTCAGCTGGAGGCGCGATAGGTGTCATATCGAGGCTCTGTTTGGCTCGTATCAGGGTCTCTTCGAGATGCCTGCTGGTTGAGGTTATAGACGCTGGTTCGGCTACATCCAAGTGCGGAAGAGAGACCTTCTTGAGGAAAGAGAGTCGGCGTGGTATGAATATTGAGTAGTGCGGGAGCCTGCACCGGCTAGCGGAAGTGTAACTTGTCTGTCCTGAAGGTGACTCCTTTGAAATTTTCACCTAGATCTGGGGCTGTAAGGGCACCTTGCTGAGTGTGTTTGCCCTGGTAGAAGAATGACCGATTAACATTGCCGTCCTAGCCGACGAAGTACCTGTCCTCGGCTATGATACGGACTCCCCCTTCCATGTGTTCTGCCACGTCCATGGCTTTGAGGTCCAGTTGATCCACGCGGGAATGCCTCTCCTAAAATAGTTCAGAAGTATGGCTTGAAGCAGAATTTGACCACGCGATTTACCAAAAGCAGGCACCCGAGAACCAAGACTCTCAGGCGAAGATTGATGAAGCGCAATCTGAGATATCACCTCGGCTCCAGTACTCAGCGGCCGATAAGTATTGAATCGCACAATTCAACTCTTCCGAATGGCCGCCGAATGAAAACTGAATGACTCTTAAGTCCTTCTTGTAGGAGATCTTTGGGCTGCAGCGTGTGCTGGGGATGTTATGTTTAGGAGGTGATGGTTCGGTTCTGTTTGTCCTGGCATCCCCACTTTGCGTTACTCAACAACCTTGTCTTATCGATAAGACAGACGCGCATCTGTCTTCGTCCCTCGTCGCGACAGCAGTTACTTTTCCCTCCTTTGTGTCACATAGTTGTCGCACTGAACAACATGGACGGCCCTGCGCCGAACGAACACACGCCGCCGGTCGACGGGCCCATAAAGGCCATCGCGGAGCCCGGCATCAAAGCACCACGCGACTTTGCCCTGCAGCTTCGGAGAGATGTCGCAGAATTGCTGCAGCGAAATCAGATCGGCTTCCCTGGCGCACAACCTGTCAGCTTTGCCCGCAAGCACCTTGCTGAGCTGCGCAGACAAGAGTAAGCCTCATTTCTCGTCCCTAGAGTACATTCCCTCGGAGAAGACTGAGCTAACATCCACCCCCCTCTCAGTTACTTTGTCTGCGAAAAGTCCGATGGCATTCGATACCTTCTCTATCTAACCGAAGAGGCCGGCGCCGAGACGGTGTACCTCATCGACCGCAAGAACGATTACTGGCGCGTCGAAAACCACAACCTTCACTTCCCAATGAAGGATGATGTTCAAGGGTGGCACACGCGCACAATCATCGATGGCGAGCTGGTCCTCGACTTTGAGGACGGCAAGCAGGTCCCTCGCTTCCTCATCTTCGACTGTCTCGTTCTGGACGGCCAGAACCTGATGCAGCGCAGCTACGACAAGCGCATTGCCTACGTCAAGGACGGCATCATCCGCCCCTACACCAAGCTGTTCGACAACTATCCCCAAGAACGTGCCTTTCAGCCCTTCGACGTCGTCATGAAGCAGATGGAGTTCAGCTATGGCATCCCCAAGATCTTCAACGTCGTCCTGCCGACCCTGAAGCACGGCAACGACGGCCTCATCTTCACCTGCGTCCACACAAAGTACCAGCACGGCACCGACAACCACATTCTCAAGTGGAAGCCGCCCGAGGAGAACACGGTCGACTGCCGCCTGCGCCTGCACTTCCCCACCGTGCAGCCCGAAGACGTCGACATGTTCGAGGGCGGCAGCGACGAGCCCTTTGTCGACTACGACAGCGTGCCCAAGGCGGAACTGTGGAGCTTCCTCGGCAGCGGACGTGACGGCGGCAACTACGAGTACTTTGCCGACGTGTACATTCGCGAGGACGAGTGGGAGACGCTCAAGGGGCTCGGCGACCCGCTCGTCGACCGTATTGTCGAGTGCCACAAGGACGAAGAGGGCCGCTGGCGCATCCTGCGGTTCCGCGACGACAAGTCCGAGGCTAACCACATCTCGACCATTACGAGCGTCATGGAGAGCATCGAGGACCGCGTCACGCAGCAGGACCTGGAGGCACAGGCGGGAGCGTTTAAGGAGAACTGGAAGCTGAGGGCCGCCAAGCCGAAGGCTTGAGGCACTGCGGGCAAGCTCGCGATTTGGGAAGAGGGCCGAGGATAAGCTGGTGCGGGCGCGGCGTCTGGGTCACTGGCGCGATTGTATTGCATTTAGCTTTGGGGACGGGGCTGGGTTTGGATCAGGCGTTTTAGTCTAGCTGTGGGCACAGTCTGCCCCGAATCGACATCATTTTGCGTATCGAACGCTGTGTGAGCACTGTCGTGTGCTGTGAAGATTTTACCTGCCGAAGCTAGCTTTGCGTGGCACGTGCGGCAGCCCGGAAGATGGACACAAGGTTCGATGCACGCGATCGAGCCAGCCAGCCCAAACCGAATCAGCGTTCGAGCGGGCAACATGCAACTTGGCAAAGATAGCTGCCGGCGCCTTCTTCTCCCCATCTATTGACGTCGTTATGACGCTTGCAGCCCTCAAGGCACGACTCGTCTTAGACAGATGACCTCCAGGGAACGCGGGGTACGTGGGAGCTCGGTGAGGTCGCTTCGTGCTGCGACAAAGGGCAGGGCGGGGTTTCCTCACAAAAACTCCAAGGCTGAAACCCAAAATACGCCCACACCATACATGTCGCAGTCACACGATTGTCAGGATGAACAAGAATGATTTGAAGCAAACTGCTTTTTTCATTGTCATTGCCGTTCTGGTCCAAGATCCCTCGTAAGGGTCGTCCAGCAGCATGCTTCATGACCCATAAACACTTCGTTTCGTCGTTGTCGACTTAATCGTTTACCTCACTCGACCTTCCAAAATTGTCGTCGTCTCCGCTCCGTGTCTGATAGCCCGCCCCAACCAACTAGAGTCCTGCAGGCCACCCTTGCCTTTGCCTGGCCGTCAGCCCATCGTCCGAATCCTGGATGAAGAGAATGCGAATGAATTGCCATCCCGTAAAGGCGGCAGACCGGGGTCGTGGTAGAGGTTTGGTGTGATGTGGCGCACACAGCTCTTAGTGCTGATCATGACGTTTGTGTGGTCATCTCGAAGGAGGGGTCATGGTCGAGGTGATGTGCGAGGTGTTTATTTGCTGAGGGAAAGTTAGTGACTGAACATGTGTCGAGGCAGCGACGACGTCGCTACGAGTATCGACTTACGATCGGGCTCGCATCTTTCTTCTCTTGCGCTTGAGGCGACGAACTCGCTTCTTTCTCCACTTGGCTCTCATCTTGGACTGAGGAAGAGCGTGTTAGCCGACTTGTCACGGGTGATATAATTGATGCGCCGCTGAGCACGCGCGCGCGCATCGCAACAGCAGAGACGTCGCCGGGGACATTGGCGCGGTGGCAAAGGCCCAATTACCCCGACAATATACAAGCTGTTGCCGGTGCGGCGCGGAGATAGACGGGTGGCGAGAATTGGCACTTACATGTTGACCGAGGCGAGAGTTGTTGGTGAGGAATCAGGAATATCTGAAGCTCGTAACTTCTGCGGGAGCTTAAGATGCCATTGGGAGAAGGGCAGGTGCCCTGTAGCGTCACGTGTGCGTCTGAACGCCCACCACGACCCCGCAGTGACGCTTCACAGTGTGGCACTGTGCGACAACCCGCACCTGCCTTTGAAACTCTATAGATCGGTATTCAGGGGGGTCACGATGTATGGCGCCTGCCCCAGAGAGCAACTGTATTGCTGTATTGCCTTGAATCGGAAGGCTCTTGCCATCATTGTGATAGCGAAAAAATGAAGAGACCCGTGTGTACCTATCTCCTGGTGCGGACAGTCAACCTGCCATGTCCATTACCTCAGTGTGCAGCGATTGTCGTTGAACTCTGAATGCTAGACTTCGCCAAAATACTGTCGTGCAGTCTCGTTTCTTCTCACAAGGCCTTGTTTTCTTCGAAGCTTCGCATCATGGCTCAAGCCTTCGAGTCAATGTCGTGTGAACGTGATGGCCGGGTTGCAGAGCTGGAGCTTGGCCGCCGTTGCCAGGAACACACAGGTAAGCATGGCTTAATCTGGCGTCACGCGCTGGGAACCAGCTCATATTACATTCAGAAACGATACCCATATATCCCGAATCACTTCTGAAATATGGACGCGGCGAGTAGGTATTGCCGCGCCGTCGAAATAGGCTCTGTTTCTGACATTCACAGTCGCATCCGTCAGCAGCATGATCAGGGCTACTCTCGAGATCATTTCGAGTTCTACGTCATCACATTCGATGAGTACCATCCACCACTGTGCTACGTTCGCGATCGTAGGTCTCGAAATGGCATACGCGTCAATGGACAGCATATCGGTGACCCCGAGAGGATCACACCAGGCCACTGCCTTCTCGACGGCGATGTCATTACTGTTCCTGGTCAGCCATCTCGTGACGTCAATGTTTCCGAGTTTATTCCTTGTATGACATTCCATTTCAAGCAGGACTACGTTTCGCTTTACGTCCCTAGTCCCATTCAACAACGGGAGATGGACTTCTTTGCTGGCCGATTCAACGTAACAGATCGCGCACTCGGCAATGGCGCCCATGCGCGGGTTTTCCTAGCTATTGAGGTGGCCACCAAGAGGCAGGTGGTTTGCAAGATCATGAATGTTGACCGACTTCGTGTGCGCGTCGACGGGGCCACGACCTTGCGTCGGTGGAAGCAAGAAATTGACATGGTCAGGCAACTACACCATCCAAACATCATCTCTTACGTTCATGCCATATACTCGCCTCACACACTGTCAGTCGAACTTTCTTCCATAAAGTTACGAAGGTTGACAGAGTTTAGGTATTTCTTCACTGAGCTGGCCACAGGTGGTGATCTATTCTCCCTTGTACAGCGGCGAGAGCTGCATGGGCCACCATTTCGGGAGGGGGATATCAAATTGATCATAAAGCAAATCGTGGATGGCGTGCACTGCCTACACAAAGCCGGAATCGTTCATCGGGACCTGAAACCTGAAAATGTTCTACTCGTCACTCGACCGAGCCCGGACTACCGCATTGCGCTCAGCGACCTTGGCAACTCTGCTTTCGAGGGTCCGACTAGATTGATGTCGCGAGTCGGCACGGAGCGATACATAGCCCCAGAGGTGATCAATCAAGTCACTGACCATGCTTGTCCGGTAGATATGTGGGCTATGGGTGTCATCATGCTATTTGTCTTGAACAGTCAAGCGACAGAAGACATTGGAGGCCTTTACCGATATAGTCAGGACCAGGTCATCGATTGCATCAAATGCATTGTTGATGACAGGCACACAACGTTGAGTACTATCGGCGTCAGGTTTCTCCAACGATGCCTGGTAGTTGATCCCTCGAAGAGAATGACTTCGGCGCAGGCCGTCCAGCACCCTTGGTTCACGATGGAGCAACACGAGAAACGGCTCGACGACCTGAAGCTTTGCGTCGAGCAATCTTGGAACGGGGATAAAAAGGTCTTTCCATGTCCCGAGGAGATTCCAGATTTTGGCCCCAAAGATATGGCAGAATCGAATTCCACGAGGAGTCTGAAGCTCCGTGAAGGAGCGCAAGCTGAGGCGATTGACTCTATTCTACCGAGCAGTCAACAGCCAACGCCTGCCAATTCTAGCTCGCGACTTCAAGGCTCCAGAATCGTGCGAGAAGTTTCTAGACCTTTGAAGACTGTCTCACAGTTTTTCGCTGGGCCTTTGAAGTTACATGCTGAGACTGGGTTTCCTCACGAGAAGAACGACGAAGCTGGGCCGCGCCGTGAGAAGCCGACTCAAGCCAAACCAAGCATCATCATTACTGATAGTCAAGGCAAGGTTGGGGAGGTGGAGTATCAGAAGTCGAATCTCAGGGGTCATAACCAGCATTCAGCAGTGGACAAAAATCATCTGGCAGTCGTCCCGCTTGCGAGGAAAAAGGGACGGCAGCAGTCCTCATCGGCCAATGCTGTCCAGCGACAGTCCAAGTTGCAAAAACGGTCAAGATGAGTGGAAACGACGAAGCAATGAGGGAACCGGCATAATGTATCGTGTAAGTTGGGACAATTTGTACGCAAACCTGCCTGGGGCATAATTCTGCAACGCGAATCTTCGCGATGCCCGGGCAATTGGTGAGGTTATGATGCGGTACAGGTGCAAGGTAATTCACACTGTCGACGAGGACGTAATTGTATCTCAAACATGATGCAGACATCTCTGAATCTCACGCTTGCTAGTTATCATTTTGACATCAACTATCGCCCAGCCAAAGGGTAGCATCCCGCCTACATCTCTCAGTGGGAAACTCCAGGGGCAGTAGTGGCTGTAGGCTTGACGGATCGGGCTCGGCCAGGAGGGGTGCAAGCATGGCCCTCAGCTCCTGAGCCTGTACCGTGTCCCTCTTTTCCAACTTGGCGAGATCCTCTGCGGCAGTGGCCTTCTCCACGTCTGTCAAGGGCCTCTCCCTTTCCCTGACGATCGCCGCCGCCACCTGGCCCATCAACTTCCCGTCAGGACGCTCCTTGGCATCAGAGAAGGCGACGAGGTTGCCCCTCCTCACAACGAGAACCTGATCCACCGTCTCGGGATGTGCATCAATCCACTGCGCAGCATCCAAAAGTCCGCTGTACGAGTCGTCGTGGACCTTGATGGGTGTCAGGCGAACCGGCAGCCCGCGGCTCCCTGCCTCGGGCAGCCTTTCGTGGAAGCGCGTCAGGATCCCCAGCCTGCTGAGCGGCCTCGGCACAGCCAACACGACGACCTCAACGCGGTAGCCTGCGTCATGGAGCGCGGCGGCGAGCGCCGTGAAGTCATCCGGGTGGCGGCACGCAGACTCGATGAGGAGGTCGAGGCGCTGGTCGGCAGCGTGGGTTGCGGCCAGGCGCAGCCAGCGGCGGGCGTCGGGGCCTGTGGCCGGCGAGGCGAGAGGCGCCGTCGCTGGCGAGGCCGTCAGGGTCGCGTACGAGGGGTGGTACGTCTTGTAGGTGTCTGCGATGATGTGGGCTGGGCTGCCGCGGAGGGCGGTCTGGGCTTTGAGAACGGCGGGGGCGAGGCGGGTTTTGCCGGCGCCCGTTTGGCCTACTATCAGTACTGCGAGGGGTCGTTGGCCGGCATGCGTTTGTGGTGCTGGTGCCAACGAGGGGAACTCGGCCGGAAGGATCTGGGACTTGAAGATGTCGTCCGAGGTCTGGGTTGGCAGAATGTAAGAGGTGAGGTCTGACGGGGGAGGCATGGTGCTGTCGTTGCAGGAGATTCAAGTGGTGCCGTTTGATGTCGAGTTAGAAATGTCAGTCCTTCAGAGTGGAAAATGTTTCTTCTGGGATGTCTTAGTGCCCCTTTTCTTTGCCAGTCTCGCAATGAGGTGATCGCGGGATATCTCGCTTGGCGCAAGCTTGATTATAGTGCTTGACCGCAGTTATAAGTATCAGAATGTTGGTTAAATCGTGTTGATAGTCAAAAATATATCCAAGTGAATCCAGATATTTGTACCATAAAGCTTGCCTCTGAGTTGCGACGTTCGTGTGTGAGGGAGGTTGATATTGGGAATGAAGTCATTCCAGAGTATGATTAGCTAAGCTGATCGAACCAATTGTCCCTCGCCGAGATGCGACATAATGTTTTCTCCAGTCTGCTTCTTGAGGCCTCATCCGGATCAACCTTTGGACGACAACCACTTGACGCTCTGGGCCAGGTTTTGCATCAGTCTCGACAGCAAACCAACTCTCCTACTCATGAGACAGACTGTTCCTCGTCATCTTGCTCCCCGTGTCCCGCCACCCCAGTCTGCTACGCCCACTCCCGCAGCCTCTGCCTTCTTAGCCCAATATTCATCTGAACGAATCTTGGCCATTCTCGCACGAAATCCCTCGGCTCTCGACTCTTCGCTTGGTGACAGCAGCCTGGGCGAGTTGAGCCTCGGGGTTTCAGCCATGGATTGATTGCGCCTGGCCTTGAGGCTCTCAACCTGCAATGTTGACACCATGGCTGGAGCGAAACTCTTGACATCGACCGCATCAACCATGAGACCACAAATATTGACAAACGCCCTACCTCGAGGCTCAAGCAGCTCTTCGGCTCTGGCCTGGGCTACTTTCTTGCCAATGCCGTGCCCAGATGCTACATATTTGGTCCACCTGGGCAAACCCTCGCGATCAGCGTCCCGCAAACCAGGGTCTATTTGGATGCATGTTTCGCCCATTCGTTGACAACGCAAGCAGGGTTCCAGCTTGGAATTGCCATGGAGGAAACGATCTTGGCTGCATTCCGTCATTTTCGCAGCCTCGCACTGGGCGCAAGGCATGCCTTTCTGAGTCAGGCTCCGTCTGCTTTTCCGTGAAGTCGGCATGACCGTCCACCTGGTCGGTTCCAGGTCCACAGGAAGTCCGTCGACGTACTGCACGCGCCCAGTCTCTTGCATCCTCTTTGTCGCCGCAAGCCAGAGACCCTCCGCCAGCGGTTGAGCCAACGCGTCGAGCGCCTGGAGCTTCCATTGCGCCTCGTCAGCAGCCTGCCTCCCCTCGCCAACGATCTCACAAACCTGGGCCCCCTTTTCCTGCAATGCCGTCAGCTTCAGTCTGTTGCGCCGCACCGTCTCCTCCTCCAGCCAGTCCGGTCTGTCGACCCGCCTCACCACGTCCACGAGCCTGACTCCATAGTCGCCCATGGACTCAATAGTCGCCCTGTCCATGTCCATCGCACACCGCGCCCAGTACAGGTCCTGAGGAGGCGGCTTCTCCCGCAACCTGTGCCGCGCCCCCCTCGACGTGCTGCCAACCAACGCCCTGCTCGTCCTCAGCACGACCGCCCAGTCGATATCCTCCAGCAGAGCCCCCATCTCCGCGACCATGGCGCCGTACCACACCCGGCCCCGCGCCTCGCGCGCCTCGCGCTCCCTCCGCCGCCGCGCGCGCTCCTTCTTCTCCTCGGCCTGCCTCTTCTTCTCCTCGGCCCGTCGCCGCCGCGCCCCCCGCAACTGGGCCTCCTCGGCGATCTTCTGCCGTGCCTTCTCCTGCGCTGCCTTGGTCGCTCGCTGCTGCAGGATGCGCTCGACCACGCTCATGCCAGGCCTGTTTCGGCTGCAGCCGAAGCCCGGGATCCGTGGCGTCGTGATCATGTTGCCCGCGCTTGTCATGACCGTCATGGTCCCATAGGCGGGAACTCGCGGGACCGGATCGTCCACAAGATTGGTTGACGATGCATCCTGGGTAGAGCTTGCTGTTTTGCGGAGTTGACCCGTTTCGCCCGTCCGGCGGGCAGTCGATCGAGCCAGGTCATCGCCAGGACGGCGCTCCAAACCTGCGAGGGGGCGCGTCTCCTTTTCGGTCTTCGAGGTCGTGCATCTCACGAGACGCCTGCCGTCTGTGTCGTGCTTGCCCGCAGGTACGCGACTTGGGAGATCTGGTGTGCCAGAGCCCTTGTGCACTGGCTCGTGGCTCGGAACGGGCTCCTCTGCCTGCGATGACATGAGGAAGTATGGCTCTACCTACGTCTCGTCGCTGCGTATGCGCTGGGGTCTTCTTTGCGTTGGTTGATCGTTTGCACGGAATATTGCCAGTGTATTTTGCTTCAACCAGTAGCCGTGGTGGGGACTCTGCCGCAGAAGAACTGGGTTCAACAAGTCATATGGACTTGAACCATGGACGATGATACCCAGGAACGATTTTTATAGTCATGCCTGCCTCCTCAATCAACGTCTGCCATGATCCATCCGGATGATTCCCGACAAAATGTGCTGTGACCTGCAAGATGCTTTGTTCTTCTTGAATCAGGTACGTGTAAGAACTCACAAGAGCATAGGTGCCGTATACCGTATCAGCCCTATTCGTTGTCTGCGAACAAAGACCTGCCACAGGCAGCCCCGGGCCACACGAAGCAAGCGTCCCAGAGACAAAGTTCTCATTGGCAATCTACGTCGGAGACCCCTTCCTCTCTACGACACTGTCACGAAGGACCAAACCACGAACCCCTTCCAAATTGTCCCTCCGTAAACCAAACGTATATCCATCATTGCTCTCTCCTCAGTCGGCGACCCATGAATGCCAAGCTCATGACAGCATTGTTCAGACCAAGAGTCGCGACGCCATCCATCGCAGAGCCAAGCCTACCGTCCAACCACGGGTGCTGTATACCCTAGTTTCCAGTATGCAAGCACATCGACGTACGCTGACACCTCGATACGCGGGCAGCTGTAAACCCTGAGCTGAAGCTTCTTACGTACCCAGCGACGCGACAAATATGCAGTTCAACGCCAGCCCAATCTCTGGCAATACCCAAATATAAAAACACAAGAATGCAAGAAAAGAGATCCGGGACAATGCTTTCTTGCCCAAAACGCCGGTGAAAATGTCCTGTTATCCTGAGCAAACCTCGCTTGCTGAAGAGCCTCCACTGAGCCCATGCTAGGAATCATCCAGGGTTGGAAGAAATGGATATGAAAGTCGTTCGTAGGCTTTTCGATTTGTTCGTCGTCACATCATCTTGAGAGAAAATAACAGAAAACGCCAACCTCCGTCGCTTAGGAGGCATGTGTTGGAACACTTCGCGGGGTGACATCGCCACTTCGCTTGCGTACCTGCTGCTGGCTCTGCTCAGACCTCGAGGCCTCAGCAATAGCCGCCATCTTCTTCCTGACCATGGCCAAACGGGAAGATATCATGTGAATCACTGCAAACAGGGTCAGTACAAAGACGAGCACAGCCTGCGATGGGTTGACTTACTCTTCTTGACCACTTGCTGGTCGTCGCTATCCAGATCGCTGGTGACGTCGTCCTGGGACACAGTGTTCTTACTGGTGCTGGGAGACCGTCCCTTAGCCGTCTCACCGTCGTTGTCCAGCACAGCCTCAAGCATGTAAATAGCCGTAACGTAAGAGATTACGCAACCCTCGAGATCAACGTTTGCAATTTCGTCAATGGCAGCACGCTTACTCATCTCCAGAGCGCGATCGTACATGAGCTTCTCAGCACTAATGCCAGGCGTCAAGTAGACTTGTTCGGTACCCGCCGAGGTAGACAAAGAGCAACTCTCGCCCTGGTTCCTAGGATGGCTGGGATGGTCCTCGGGCAGCTGCTTCTGGGCCCCGATGAGTTTCAGACGAACAATTTCGGTCTTTTCGAGAACCTCATTGAACCGCCCGCGAACCCATTGAACTGTCGAGTTCATTCGCAGAATAAGATTCTCCTTTGCAGGATCCAGAGCCACGGTCGACTCTGAACGCGTTTTCTGTACCCACCATGCGTTTGCGACATCCATGGCCTTGGCCAAAAGCGTTAAAGCCTTGACGTAGAGTACCAAGGCCTCCTCGGAGAGCACGACAACAGCCTCCAGCGTCAGACCGTTGTCCTCGGAAGCCTCATCAGCAGAGAGGCCACCTAGCCCAGTGTCCGTAGATGGAGCGATAGGGAGGAGTTGTTTGTATTTGACTTCGCCAAAACCAAAGACGCAATCGCTGCGGTGAGCCAAGTCTTGGATGTACTTGACGGCTCGGGCATCCTCATCCGCAGGCACCCTCTGCTTCCCATCCTCGAGAAGGCCAGCGGGACCGTGAGTGCTAGGGTAGGCAGGAAAAGCGCTGTAGATTTGTGGTGGCGACTGCCCCTTGCCCAGAACGTGATGTGGCACTTTGAACCCAAATAGGCGCACACTGGCATCCTGAATGGCCTTTGTAATAAAGCTCGGCGTAGCGGATCCGGGGCTACCAGAAAAACTCTTTTCGTAGGAGCCACGGCGTTCATGAGTGGGAAACTCCCGGCCCTGCGCGATCTGGACAGCTTGCGATGTCTGCGCCCGAACGGCGCCCGTCGTTGATGTGGGTGCGCCCTGCTGGGTAGCGCGGCGGACTATCTGCTGGCCAGATTTTGGCGAGAAGTTGAGTCGAGGGTTGGCTGCCATTTCGTCTGCGAAAGCATTCACCTCAACATGTTTCTTCTCCACCAAGACATAGTCACGTTCAAAGGCGACATCCTGCGCCGCTCTGTCCGATTCCGTCATGCTGCGCTCAGTCACAGGTCGAAGTTTGCCTCGGTGAGCGTTGTCGAAGGATGACGATGTGGGCGACGGGGTGCCGCGAGCTGATGGGCGGGTATAAGATGCATTTGATGGCCTGTGAGGCCTGGCGGGTGCGGAGGTTGATGGTTGCGGTGGAGGTGGCCGGCGGATACCGAGACCTTGACCACTGTCTTGGCCGGGCGAGCTGCTAAGGCGCTCGCCAGACGGGCGGGATACCCGTGGCAACCCCGACGGCTCGGTTTGCGGAGATGCTGAGAGGCCTGCACGGGGTGAGCGGGACAGACCAGTCTCCTCAGCGTGGCGCCTCAGGGATGCTTGTCGTGACAGGGGCATGCTCTCAGGCTTGGTGCTCGCACGGGCTTCGATAGAGTTTCTTTGCTCCTGAGGCGGTTTCGGAATATCATCTTCAACAACGCCGGGAATGGCACCGGCCACGATAGGGTCGGCGAAGAAATCTTCGAACCTGATTCGCTCAACGGGGTTACGAGTGAGCAGCTTACTGATGAGCTTCACCAGATCTCTGCTCACAGTGGCATCCTTGGGGTATTTGATCTTGTCTTCAGCGGCCTCAATCTTCCTCAGTAGTTCAACGTGATTCCTGGCACGGAACGGGGGCCGGCCAGTGATCATCTCGTAGAGCACCGTTCCGACCGACCAGAGATCGGCCTTGGCATCGTAGCGCTCATAGCGGAGGATTTCAGGCGCCATGTACAACGGTGAGCCGCAGAGGGTGTCAGCGAGGGATGTCGACGGGAGGACACGGGCGAAACCGAAGTCTGCGAGTTTCAGCATCGGCAGCGACGCCAGTCCTGCATTAGGAATCATGGAATCTCGGCTCGCGGACAAAATGTGCTTTGGGACCGTGTCCCGGTACTGTGGTGATGGGAGAAGAAGCAGGTTCTGGGGCTTCACGTCCCGATGAACATAGTTCTTCTCTCGCAAGAATTTGAGGGCACTGCCCAATTGTTGAAGAAAGTGTCGAGTCACGACTTCGTGGAGACCTGAGTTCGGCGTGGAAGGGTACTTCCGTGCCATGTCGTGGGTCGCAGGATTGGTGCCCAGCTTGTCACGTTTCTTGATGAATATTGATAGGTCGCCAAGCTCGCAGTACTCCATGGCGAGGTTGATGTGTGTCGAGGACTCGATGCAGTCGTGGAGGGCGACAATGTGAGGGTGCCTCAGTGTTTTGAGGATTTGAATCTCGCCATACAAGTTCTCCCTGAGCTTGGCGTTCAAGCGGCTGAGCTCGACGGACTTGATGGCAACTAATGCTTTTGAGGTCTACAAGTCGAGGAGTTAGAACACGGCAGCTTGTAGCAGGTTCCTGGAATGTCAGACCTTGTGGTAGCCTCTATACACCGTAGCAAAGCTACCCTTGCCGATCTCGGCATCGATCCAGAAGTCCCCCACCGAATCGCCTTCGCCGCGGCGCTTCCGCCCTGACGACGACGTGGGGAGACGGTCTGCCATGTCGGCTGCAGTATGTGGCTTGCTTGCTTCCAGGTGGCAGATTGGATGGCAGGCAGAAGGTGACGAGGGAGCCCAGAGGGCTTATAGGGTCCGGTGGCGATGGGCTGTTGAATATGTCGTCATGTACATGGGTTGTCTCGGAAGGAAACAGCGGTGGGTATAGAGAGGTTTAAAGCAAAAGGAGAACGACGGCTGTGGCACAAGATCGTGGTGTCAACGATGACTGTTGACGAATCGTGTCGGTGAACCAAGCTGGTGGACGCGCGAAGGCGTACAAGACGGTGGGTAACCGTCAAGTCGAATCAAGCAGGGTCGCTGCAGGTGGTATGTCGACGGTGGTGCTGTTGGCGATGTCAAGGTAAGACAGAGGTGGTTCGGATCTGGATCGGAACAGAATGGTTGTCGGCAGCCAAATGTAGGCGCGTTGGAAGAGAACGGCAGGGTTGAGGTAGTGAACGTTGGGTGTAGTGACTAATGCTATGGAAGACGGAAGGTTAGCTTGGAGGTCAAACAACGGGGATCGAATCGCGTGGGAGGCGAGAGTGGTGTAAGTGCATGCCTCAGATGCCTCAGCGGTCTCAGCGGTCTGACGGGGTCTACCAAGATCGGGGGCAGGCAGTGGGATGGGAGAGACGAGGAGAGGCTGTGATAGACTGGCTACCTTGAGGGGCAAAGTGCAAAGTGCAACCGGGAGAGGGAGAGAGAGAGAGATCCGAGGCCAAACTAATGACTCGGAACTTCAAAGGCCTGAAGCGTTGTTGAACCTTGATGGACGCAACGTGCAGTGAAGAGGTGTATTTGGGGGAAATGTAAGTTATCGTAGATACGAGGTCCCAAGACGCAGAGGTGCAACAGGACGTAGGGCGCGGGAGGTGAAAGGAGAGAAAAGAGGGCGAGAGGAG